CCAGCCTGGGGACAAGGAAAAGGCTGTGCCTATGCCTCTTCTCCTGACAGCCTAGGAGCCTGGCCCTCTGCACACCCCCACTTGTCTCTGCACTGCACCCAGTCTGGCTGATGGCCTCACAGCTCCCAGCGCTGCGGGAAACAGCCTTTTGGACCTTCTGTGCCTGTCCCTCCCCAGGGACACTGCAGACTGTGCCTGCCACCGGATCCCAGCATCTGGAACAGTGCCTGGCTCAGAGTAGGCGCTCTATAAATATTTGTGGGATAAATGGGAAGAGCAGGAACGCAGAGGAAGGGCAGAGGGCAGAAGGCTCTGTTCCGGCATCCTCGGACCCTGGGAGCTGAATGACTCCTCCTTCCCGCCATCGCCATAGTGGAGGCTGAGACATGCCTGCCACCCCCACTGCAGCACAGGCCTGACTGCAGACGCACCCCTGTCCCTTCCATACCTTCATTCAAGCTACCCTTCAGCACAAAGGACAAACTCCTCCTGCCTGCAAAGGCTACCAGATCTGGTACTTTCTGTCCCCTCAGACCCAGCAGGCTCTTCCCATCCCCAGGGCCCCGGGGTTCTTCCTGTCTCAGCACTTTTTGCTACTTTACCAGGTTTCAGTGAGTCTCAGGCAAACTGCTGGAGCAGGGCCCAGGGGGTAGAGGAGGTCCTGAGCTCCAGGCTGGAACCTTCAGCCACCTGCTGGCTGTGAGAGTCACTAGTCATGGGACTTACCTGAGTCTCAGTGTAGGAGTAAGGTTCATGGGACAAGGTGAGGGCCAAGGACAGAGCAGACATAGGAGGGGCCTGGGGGCCACACTGACTGCTCTTACTTCCCACCCCTGCTGGCTTGGGACCCAGGCATCATCTGATTACTTGGGTTCCTGTACTGAGGTCAAGTTAGCACAAAGTAGGCACTCTGCAGAGAAAACTCCACGCCCCCAGTGAGCACCAACCACCCATACAGACCACATTAAACCTCCAACAGTCATCCCGCTTGTGGCTGTAGCCTCACACAAAACTGCCCTGTCCCTTGTACACAAAGAGAGGGTCGCCAGCAACAGCCTCAACACAGTAAGCTTGGCCTAGGGACATTCAAATGCCCCCTGATTAGTTTAATTATTAGAATGTCTATACAAACCACGTGGTCTGTATTCCTACTTCTCAGCCAAGAGAACTGAGCCCAGCCAGGATAAGAACTTGTTGGCAGATAGCTCTGCAGCGAAGACAGAGGCAGGCCGGGACCAGGCCTGTCCTGCCCCAGAGCCAAGCTCTTCTTGTACTTCAGGCCTTGTGGAGCTGTGCCTTCCAAGTCCCAGCAACAGCCTCAGCATCGGCTGTCACACACCTGTGGCTAATGAAAGGCTTGGTGCCTTATGCCAGAAGCAGGTGATTCCCTTTGCCATCAAAACCTTAAAGGCAACTCAAGACCAAGGCCAACTCGTGAGGCAGTTGGGGTTGTGAGCCTGGGAAAGGGACACCCAGGCACAACAAAGATTGCCTCATAGGTCAGCCTCCATGTGCCCAGGCATATCTCCCCCCCCCTCTCTCTCTCACACTCACACACACACACACACACACACACACACACACTTGCAGGAACCAGATACTTTACACACAGCCTTTCCTGAACTGGACCCACCTAACCACCCTTATGTCTCTCTGCAGGTCCCTGGCCAGTCACTGCCACACAGGCCTCTCTCTGTCCAGGACAGGACAGTCTGTTTGGTAGGAATTAGGATCCCAGCCCAAGGGCAGGACAGTGAGTGCAGTTCACAGATGCCTGCCTGCCTGCCTCCCTGCCTGTTGCCCCCTTTCCCAGGGCCACCTGGCCAGCTCCTGCCCAGTTTCTTACAAAGCTAGGTTCTATCATCCCAGTGCCCTGACTGTCTCCTACCAGGCAGACAGCTGCATCCTGAGAACAGGCCCCAGGCCTCGGCTCAGCTCCACGCAGCTGACTTGAAGAGACTAACCACTGCAAAGGTTGTCTAGGCCACCATCCTGGGTCCCATGAGCCTGTGTCCCACGCCTACACGTCTGGAATCTGTTGCCATCTGCTTCATAAAGCCACCAGGAAGACTCAAACGAAATGCACTTGGGTGGGAATCTTGGGAAGAGCGAGGCAGCCAGGAGCTAGTCAGAGGAACTAGCCACCTCCGGGTGACCTGCGTGGCTACACTAATTACCAATGTTATCGGGCGGACAACAGCCGTGCCCTGAACTTCCTCCGTTTGATAGATTCGTGGCAAACACGCCCAGCTTCAGCCCCATGCCTGCTGATTCCAGCAGCAGCTATTCTTCCACCCCTGCCCCCAGACCCTCTAACCTCCTGCCCCAGGCCTCCAAGGTCAGCCAAGCTAGCAAGGCAAAGAGAACGCCTCCTGCTGGGACACTCCATACAGAACCAATGATACTGCCAAGGAACAGAAAACATCTCTCCTTTTGAGACACAGATGCTCTGAGATGAAAGCTACTGCTTACCTTTGTTGCTCCTGCTGCTGGGGAGCTCCAGCCCATGGATCCCTGGCTGACAAGCCCTTGACCTGCACAAACCAGGGTCCCACATTCCACGCAGGCACCAATGATCAGCTGCCGGCCATCATCCACCAACAGGCTGTGGCTGGCTCTCAGGGTATACAGGAACAAGGGCAGCCTGGCCACCCTCACTGACTTCAGCCCCAGACACCGTTTCTTCTCTTGCTGGCAGAAGAAGCATACGAACGTGTCTACCTGGTACTGCCTAGACCAGGCGCTGACAGCCTGGTGAGCGGCTCTGGCTTCGTGCTGCAGCCACTGACCCAGCAAGTCATGATAGCAGAGCACACAGGTGGCCACCAGGCCGGTGGAGTCTGCAGGCCTGGCCCGTGGGGCGGGCGGATAGACAGTGAGGAAAGGAAAGAAGGGCTCCTTCTCGCCCAGGTGGCTAGCGGGGTTCATGCTGAGCTGGAACTCCTTGCCCGGCCCCAGCTCAGCCCCACAGATGTAACAGACGGCAGGCGGGCCTCCCTGTGCAGAAGCGGGCAGATCGCTTAGAGTAGGGTCCGAGGCCGAGAAGGCTTGGTGGTACCTGCCCAGGAAGCCTTGCACAGAGTTGATGAGTTCACGGTTGTGTGATGCCCGGTACAGGGCCCAGACGTCCTCCAGGACGCTGAAGCACTTGGGGCAGCTGCGAACCTCGCAGTGCTTGTTGGGGGGCCGAGCATTGGGTGGGCAAGGCAGGAGGCTGAGGAAAGGGAAGTGCATGGAGCCGCCCGAGTTGCCATTGACGATGCGGGAGGGCACTGCCCGGGCATCCCGTGTACAATCCTCCCCGCAGAGGTAGCAGGCCTCCCGCAGCAGGCCCGCGGCAGAGGGGGGGCCCTCCTCTCTGGGGAGTCTCCGGGCCTTGGAGGCCATGCCGGGGGCGTGGCTGTTCAGGGGAACCACGTAGAGCCGCTGCAGGACAGGCACGTTGGCCA